CTCTTGTGTGTAGCTAGGGAGGATTGTCTAACTTTTTGCTTTTCAGAGCAAAATTAGAGGGTTAGGTGTAACGTGTCCACGCCTCTTTCTCCGCAGCTCCTCCCTGCCAGTGGTAGGGTGTGGTGGCCCATGAGTCTGTCCCCACGCTGATGTAAAGCTGCAAACAGAGGAGTGCTTCCAGATCCTTCTGTGTTTGAACACATCATCCTCTCTTGTTGGTGGTCATTGCCTTTTAGTTGCTTGTGACTGCCCCGAGAGCTTGGCTGACATGCAGGCATGTGCTAGCTGTGTCTGCCAGCAGAGCACTGGGCAAGGACACCTGGGCTTGCACAGAGTCATCCTGAGCCTCAGTTCATGCCTCAGCTGTGGTGCTAAGCTGGACCTAGCATTTTTTGGCCATATGTTCAGGAGTGTCTAGCGTTAATCTTGCAGACTGTCATTAAAAACAGGAATGCGGATCCTGAAGGGAAGTTTCACAAGCTCTTCTACCTGGCAATGATTGCTTGAAGGCTAGCTTGGAAAGGTTTTTTCTCTAGGGACAATTTTTTTCTGGGGAGAACTTGGATGACCTTGTAAGACTCTAGGGAAAAGGGGTAGGGGCCTATTTCACACAGGAAATAAGAGCAGAAGGGATTTGCACCAGAGCAGGAGACTGCTGAGTAGCACTCAGTGGCCCATAACATGACACATTTATGAGTATAGTAGTTTCCTGGGATGTTTTAGAGCCTTCTACTGCTAAAAAAGTTAAAATGTGCTCCTTATTGGAATGAAGTGCTAATGACTTTTATGAATTCAACCACTCATGTACTTCCATGCTGACAGGACCTTATTGTTAGATATATGTCAATATATCCAAGCCATCCCCTTGACTAAAAGCTTTGGTTAAACTAAAGCTCTTAAGCTTGGGTTCAGGCTGTTGGCACCACTCTCTTGGTGGTGATCAGAGACTTTCTGTCCTAGGACTTTGGAGTTTGGAAGTTTCTTAGTGGTCTGTCTGGGTGATTTCTGTAGAGTTAGTCCTCAGGACATGAGGAGAACGTTAAACCCATGCTTCTCCAGGTGGGTCTGTTCCTTCAAAATAGCACTGCTCCTGGCCCAAATCCTTCCAAGCAGAGATGCTTGCTTCTGTGAAATTAGTTGTACCCAAATGAAGCAGCAGCAGAATAAAGCTGCCACCTTGAAAAATGATTTGTGAGAGCACAACTGTGCTGTGAAGTGGAAAAGGCTGTGTGTAAAATTACCTTGTGCCAAAATAGTGGTAATGCGGTTGCTAATAGTTATACGATGATATAGCATACATGCTCCGAAGCATTGCTTTTAAGGGGCAAACAGGAAAGTCCAGCCTCTGCAGCCTATTCTACTTTTTCTGTTGGGACCACCTGCACTTAGACCGTCACAAGAGGTAAGTCATGTTCTACTGCTTTGCATTTCACATTTCAGTCAGGAGCCACAGGCCAGTACAGCCAAAGAGAGGTAGGAAACTTGCATTCTGCTTGGAGCTTTGCCCTGTCAGGTCACTGTGAAGCAACCCCTGCACTTCCCTGTGCCTTCTCCAAGTGTAGGCCAGGGATAATAACCCTTATTTCCTTTCCAGAATACTCTTCCTTCAGCTAATGAAAAGCAGCAGAGAAAAGCCCTGAATTCTTGTTCTTTCAGAGTGAAGTGGAGGGCAGGTCCGTAACAGGTGCTTTCAGCTTTGACCCCAAGCCTGATGCTCAGACTCTGTACAAAGCCATGAAAGGGCTTGGTAAGTTGACTTCATATAATATCAACCACATGTGTAAATTCTTGTGTGTTGAGCTTAAAATAACCCAGTTGAAAGCCCTTCCTTAAGAAAATTGCGGCCAGAGATGTCATGTTTTTATGTGGAAAATTCAAAATTAAAGCTTCCTCAAGAAATAGTTAAATTTCTACATCATGAAGGCAGTGAATTAAGGAAGGCTAGCTGAGTACTTGAATCCAAGTCTGGGACTAGTCTCAACTTATTCTGTGCAGTGTTAATGGCTTATTGTTGTTCTCCCTAGGTACTGATGAGCAAGCTATAATTGATGTCCTAACCAAGAGGAGCAATATGCAGCGTCAACAGATTGCCAAATCCTTCAAGGCACAGTTTGGAAAGGTTCTCCCAAAACAATATTTAGTCACTATTTCACTGCATGTAGGATGTAGCAGATACAGTCCATCCTGCAAGCATAGTTCAAATAATATTCAGGTCTTCTGGAAATATGTAGATTGATATTTGATTATAAGGCCTGGGGCAAATGTGTCGAACTATACTTTGGTGGAAAACCTGGCTTTCCTCCAAGACTGTCGTTTTCCTGAAAACAGCATTTTTGACTAGAAATGTTTTTTAAAATCTACTTTGACTTAAAGCATAAGTTTATGTTGCTTTTGAAACTATAACAAAAGTATCTCTTTCTAAGTGTCGTTTCGATTAAAAATTTAGTTTGAGGCCTTTTTAAATTACCCCAAAAAATCAGCTTAAGAACTTATTTCATTACTTTTTTTTTTAGGAAATTTTGAGAAGGAAAAGAAACTGTAGTTATTGAAAACCATGTTTTTCTGTGGCTACCTTTCTGGCTTGGATAAAATCTTATTTTTATCAGGAAACTTTCTGTGCTGCAAACTTTTCCACCATCCCTTTTGTGGATCCAGTTGTATGAGAGTCACAGTTAAACACAAAATGGGAGACATGATAGGAAAGAGTAATATAGGCTCTTGGGTCATCACAGGAAGAGGAGTCTTCAAAGACCCTTGAAGGGGGTCGGGGGCATCATGTAAGGGCCTGACAGTGCAGGGCAGTGAAGAGATCCTTTGAAGTTTTTTTTTTTTATAATTATGTCATGCGTGTTTAACAGGATCTGATTGAAAGCTTGAAGTCTGAACTGAGTGGCACGTTTGAGAGGCTCATTGTAGCTCTCATGTACCCCCCAATCAAGTATGATGCCAAGGAGCTTTATGATGCCATGAAGGTGAGTTGCTTGCATGCTGCTTATTAAGTAATAGCATAGCTCCAGTGCTAATTTTTGTACTTGTGCTTGTTAATGCAAGTGGTAGTAACTGGAGTGTTGTGTGATATAGTTTCTCAGAAGGCTACTGTTAATAACAAACTATATAGTTAATTGTTCTATTAAAGCCCACTTGTGGTGGGAAATGCTACGTTAATATTTAGAGCTACCTGTGGATTTTTGTGCATATCTCAGAGTTTGGGGAAGGCAGCAGCAGAACTAAACTCTTAGCTTTGGCAAAGAATAACCATCCACAAATGCCAGTTTCCAGCTAAATACTTCTTCACTGCTTTCTGCAGTGCCTGCTGTGTATGGAGGTCAATGACCTCAGGCCAGAATTGCTGCCCTGACATCCCATGTGAGAAGTGAAGCCTTTAAGAAATCATTAAGTGGTGACGAGAGGGCCAGGTGGGCGTTGGCTGGATGCTACCTATTGATGCAGTACCTTTTAAAATCACAGATTTAGAGAGGTCTATGAAAATGGTACAAAGATATATTGACTGGGCAAGACTTGCTCTCCCCATAACACTGCCTGTCATCAATGACCCAGATCCAAAAATGCATCATACAAGGGCATGGTTGCATAAAATCATCCTGTAAAAATTGTGCACCTCAGTAAACAAATCTGTGCACAAACCAAATGTGTCCCAAGCTTTCATCCTGACAGTTTTCCACAACTCAGCACACAGCCTAACACTTTGCTGCCATCGAACTCCTCATTTGATGATCCTTCTCTAGCAATAGATTTCACTGCATGAAGAGATTATCTTCCTCCTCTTTTGTTTCTCCACTATGTTTTCAATTAAAGGGCGTGGGAACAAGCGAAGGTACCATCATAGAGATCCTGGCATCACGGACAAAAGCGCAGATCAAAGAGATAATCAAAGCGTACAAAGAAGGTAAATTGCCTGAGATTCTGCTTTGTGTGATCAGAGCAATGTGGCTGCCTCATTGCACGGTAGGAACAACCTTACTTGCTAGCTCTGTCAGCAGCCAAATGGGATTTTAAAATTAAGAGGTACAGATGAACTCTGCTTTCAGCCTGGCAAACAGAATATGGCTATGATGAGTGAATCTGAAAATCCCTTTCTACCTTTCCATTCAGCTGGTGGAAAAGGTCAGCAAATCACAAATTTGGTTCAACTGGGAAGCACAGACTATTTTCAGTGTACAGACAAAAATGTAGCTACTCACTTAACTTTATTTCTCCACCTTAAATATACTGTAGGTGGGAATCTGTCAAATATGTGCCTGCACCTATCTGACAACTCTTTGATCCCTTAAACTACATCTCTAGCATAAAGTATAGGATTATGCCTTTGATATCAATGGAGCAAGCGGTATACTCAGCCACAGATCAAAATGCCTGTCTGGGTATCACTGAGCGTGTGGGCTGATCTCAGCCCTGGGTCTTTTCCTAGTGACTTTCTTGGCTGACATCAGGCTTTTGTTTGTCCTTGGGTGGCTGATGACATCCTGACCTTGTCATTCAAGTAACAAATCCTCTTTCTCTTGTCCTTCTTTTCCTTGTGTAGAATATGATTCTAATCTGGAAGAAGACATAAAATCAGAAACAAGTGGCTATTTTGAACAGATTCTAGTTTGCCTTCTTCAGGTAATGTTAGAACAGAGAAATGAGGATCTAAAGATCTTAACGTTTTCCTCTTCCTTCTTGGGGAAGCCATGAGCAGGGTCAATGCGGTCATGGTTACCAGATAAACTGTAAAGACAATGTGCTACTTGACTGGTTTTCTGTTTTCTGCTTCAGAGTGACAGAGGCAGGGAACCCCCCATTCCCTTAGCAACAGTAAGAGAGCTGGAAACTTTCTGTCAGCGCTGCTATGAGGAGCCACCTCACTTTTTCATATGCATAAATATACTCATTACAGTCCTTACAATCTCCTGTGGTGTTAGCAATTAATGCCCCCAGTTAAATTTAACCCTATTCCAGATTCTTCCCCCACAATGCTGAGAGTTCATTGAGATGCATTTACTCTACTGAATCTTTCAGCAGCAGAATAATCTAGCAACTTCTTTGCTCCAATCATGTGAATGATTTCAATGCATTTCAGTCAAGGAGTTAGCTCTTGTGTTTTTTGAAACATTAGTGCTCAAGTACTCTGCAGAAATAGATAGCTGAGAAGGGAAATGCATCTCTGTCTAGAACATACTTTGTGATTCTTATAAGCAAGACACTTCACAAAAGCAAACGGTTAGCTTTCTTTTTCTTCTCCTAGGGTGAGAGGGACAATGCCACTCTTTATGTGGACACAGCACTGGCTCTCCAGGATGCAGAGGTACTCTCAAATGCCTGTGATCGGTGATATGCCTGGATCTCAGTTATCTTAAATTTCAGAGTGTTTGGGCAACAAAAACCTGGTCAGCAGGGGGCTGGAGCCGTGGCGGTCTGGAGAGGGGGCCTCCTTCAAGCGCATACAGCTTGGGGATCTTCAGTTTTGCCTGCACTGTTGAGTCTTGCCACTCCATAGAGGAGTGATCAGAGCTGGGCTCAGGGTCAGCTGCTTTCAACATGTGGAAGTACATGGATATGGTGGAGTGGAATCACTAAGAATGGAGAGAACCCTCAAGAGCATCACTGGCTGCTCCAGCTGCTGCAGATGGGATGGAAAGGGAGAAGGTCACTGCCCAGTTTCACTAGAAGACGCAGTCAAGAATTTATACATTGAATCATTCTAGGAGAGTTTAGCTCATGTGATGTTTTAGGTTATTTCAACCTCCTTTAGCCAAGCAGTACCTTATGCCACACTCCATTTCTTTAGCAACTGCATGTGCACAACATCCCTAGTAACCATGCACGTTAAATTGCAGGCTCTCTTTGCTGCTGGGGAGAAGATACGGGGCACGCATGAGATGCAGTTCATTACCATTCTGTGCACAAGGAGTGCCACACACTTGCTGAAAGGTATGGAGCAGAGCACCCACGCACAAGTCTCTGAAATGAGAAGTCATCCTACCCAAAAAGAAGGGGCAGGGCTACAGAAGGCAAAGGCTGGTCGTCAGAACTCAGCACCTAAGTCTATGTCCTAATCCTTGGCTGTTCAGAGTGCCTAAGAGCTGTCAGTAGCTTTGAAAATTTGTGAAGACTTGGCACCACTGAAATTAGGCTGCTTACACCTAGGAGTCCTGATACTGTAGTGATGGCTAGATGGTATAGCTTTTCTTATAAATCCCAGGAGACAGAGATGGTCCCTTTCTAACCAGGCAAGATCATGTGATGGATGGACCTGTGATTCCTTAGCCATGTGTTCCTCTGGGAAAAATTACTGACAAAGTGAAGGATTACCTTCTCGCCTCAGACTCTTGAGGCAGTGCAAGAGTCCAAGGCTCTGGCTAACAGGTTTTGTTATGTACGCTGGGTCTAAGCACGTCAAGTAATGTGTAAGTCAACTGGAGCTAAATCAAACTGGTGATAAATTAGGTGTGCCTAATTTTTCAAGCTGAGAGAGCTTTCTAGGCCCTGGAGGCCCGCTCCCCCTTATGTTTTCAAATTTAATCTCAAAGAATCACTTAGAAAACAAAAAAGTGGCCTCTAGTCTTTGCCTTCCTCAGCCTTTAAGAACTGAATTTCAAGCTGTCTTTGTCTGGATGCAACCAACTTTTGGGACGTACTTTATTGCCAAGCAAATGAATCTGTGGTTTCCTCTGTACTGAGGCAGCCTATGAGTAACAGTTTATTTTTAAAACTTGAATGTACTTGTTGCAGCTAATATGTTTTGAATATGGAGAGCAGGCCTGCGTTGTGAAGGTTGTATCCATCTGTCTAATCTGTAGTGCTGCCTTTTGCAGAAGCATCAGAGAGTTAATGTTTAGGGAATTGATCTTGAATTCTGTGGAAACTTAAGTATGATGCTCATTGCATTACAAAGCTCTTCTTCTTTGCCTGTTTAAAAGTTAGAAATTGAAATTGAAGTCTATGGTTCCGAACCCCAGAATATTCTGAGTGTACAAGGGAAACAACGGCAACTCTGTTGCTGATGTTTTGTTAATGTGGGAATTCAAATATCTTAGAATCTGCACCTGTGTTCTGCTTGTCTTTTCTGAGTTGTTTTTTAAATGTGGTTGGAATGATTCTTCCCAAGCTGTTGTCATTATGAAGTCCAAGGGCCGTGAGCAGCATAGTGCTAGATTTGATCTGATTTTATTTTGGTTCCTGAGGCCAGAGACACAAACAAACACAAGAGCAAATGGAAGAGCTGTGCCTACCCTTCTGTAGCTTGCTTCAGTTTGGTGGTTAAACAGGGATGAAGAATCAGATTTCCAAATAAATGTGAAATTACTGAACTTACATTTTCAAAAGAAGACAGGGAATTAAGCCCCTCCGTTCTGTTAGTCACTCTGTCCACATGCAGTTATTTACTGCTTTCTCAGGATTTAGTGAATGTTGCTGCCCACTTTTGTAGCTTATTTCGGAGCATGACTAAAACTTACTGAAGTTAGTGAAAATGTGGCCACTGCTTTAGGTTGCTCTGGAGGGGTTTGTGTTTCCTTATCTCTACCCAAGCAGTACCCTTAAATATTAGGTGCAAAATGCCTGAGCAGTTGCTTGGTGAAGATTTAAAGTGCCTTGTATTTCAAACAGTATTTGAAGAATACCAGAAACTTGCCAATAAAAGCATAGAAGACACTATCAAGAGCGAAACTAATGGTTCACTAGAGGATGCCATGCTGGCTATTGGTAAGAGCTGCTATACTTCCCTTTCTCTTGTTTGGATCTGTCATCTTTTCTCCTGCAGCAGTTGGATGTGGGATGGGTCTACTTTATTAAGCTAGCTGGTGGGAAGTGAAGGGTACTACTTAGGTAAAATAAACTACGATCTGAGGGAAGGAATGAATTAACGGAAACCAGGTTGAATCTTTATCTTGTGCTGCTCTGGGCTGGGATTAGCACTGATACTTACTGAGCCTTTTCATATACCTAGTGAAGTGCACAAGGAGCATCCACTGCTACTTTGCAGAGAGGTTGTACTATGCTTTAAAGGTAAGACTCTTTATTACAACACACTTGTTACTTACTGGACATAACTGTAACCTGACTTCCACCAATAGAAATCAGAAAAGCCAAAGTTTTGATGAAATCCAGCAATGTTATTGCTATTGTTGCAAGTAACAGCAAATTCCCTTCAGAAATCTTAAGTAGAAAAGTACCTTTTAGTCTTGAGAAACCGAAAGAATATGGCTTTTCTGAATTAGGAGGCCATAAGCAACTCAGTCCCACCTTCTGCTATGTGGACAAGACTTCTGGAAGAGGCTTTCCTAGGATGTTCATCATGGTGGAGTTTTGCCCATGATGTTAATTTAGTGGACTGGGCAACAATGTTTTCTTTCTAGGGAGCAGTTCTCTCAAAGGCAGTATAAAATGAGAGTTCCACATGGCAAGACATGAGACAGCTGTGTAGTGCATTTTGGGCCAACTGCACCCATGCGTGTAACTTTTAACCCAGATATAAAAGATGCCAGTTGTCCCAACTTTTTGGAAGGCTGAGACAACTAATTGCTTTTATAATTCTCCAGAAGTTTTTTGTTATTGATATGAGCTTGATGTTCCTGTGAGTGAAAGATTGTACAACACTGAATCCAGGTGTTGCGTGGGTGGTGCTGGGGAAAGGCAGTACGTATTCAGTCCCCACTTCCAGCTCTGTAGCATGTTTGCTTTTGCATTTGATATGTGCAAAGACTCACGGTGCAATTCCATGCATGGCTTTTGGTGCCAACAGCAGATCCAAGAAAAGTAGATATGCTGCAGAAAGTATGCTGAATGACATTTGAAAACTGACTCCTCCTGTCCTCAACCAGTTTATGTCAGCTTATCGCTTGAACACCCACAGGCACTGTAGACTGATAAATCTATTATTCTAGGGAGCTGGCACCGATGATGGGACTCTTATAAGGGTGATTGTTTCTCGAAGTGAAGTTGACTTAAATCTTATAAAAGCTGAGTTCAAGAGGATTGCAGGACAGTCCCTCTCCAGCATGATTCTGGTAAGCATCATGTTAATATGATCGTTCCTAGTATTTGTATGTGTTCCTAACTTGTGAGACGCTCTCGTGGTTGTTTTTAGTAAAAAATATTTCTGCAAAGATCATAACTTTCCTCCTTCATTGAGCCTATTAAAATCTCCTCCTTGAGAGATGTATGTGCCTGAAGCATGAGTCACATTGTGTGTTCTGGATGTGACTCGGGCAAAGCCAAACCTGAGGAGAAAGAGCTTCAGGCTTCTCATTGACCAGACTGCACCTGTGCACTTCATGATCTCCTAGATGAATCTAGATTCGTTTAATTCTTACTGTCGCTTCCTTCCCACATGGCTGTGCTGTTTCCTCTTCTCTCTGCTGTCCCGAACTCCTTCAAGCTAGTGCCACATCAGTTAAAGCAGCTGTGGTTATTTATATTAAACTAGTTTACCCCATACAAAGGCTTGGTCCATACAGTGGTGAGACAGGTCTAGAAACTGAACCCTGCCAAAGTTTATTGTAACTTTTGGGGTTTGAGTTTCAGCTCTGAGTGAATGATCCTTCTCTAGCAGAAAGCCATGCTGCCTAATAGGGCTAAAATGCTGGTTTTTATAATCTGTCATAAGGAATCTGGTTTATTCCTTTTCCCCAGTGCATATGGCACAGAAGTTCTATCCTTAGTAGTTCCCGTGGGAAGTCTCATTCTGTAATGAAGGCCCTTTCTTCTAATTGACCCTGTCAGTGTCTGTCATGTTGATTAATGATCAATCTTCAAAGGTCTGTATGGAATATTCTTTCCTTCTGAGAAGTGGAAATGCCTTTACACCTGTCACCACAAAATAGTCGAAGGGAGCAAAATGTTTATCTCATGATATTATTGTAGTGCTTTTCTAGATGAAAATAACCATATTTATGGTTCTCTTAAAAAAAAAAAAAAATCATGTGTTGGGGCTAACTACACTGCCCTTTCCCTTCCTCTGAGGGAAAGAACAATACAAGGATACGCAGGGGAGTTAAATCTGAACGCTACAGGCTTGGTTGCTCTCATTCATGCTGACTTTGTCTGGGCCTCTCTGCAAGATGTAGCCCTGATCAATTGCTCACCTGGATTCCAAAGAAAAGAATTAGACTTGATAAATATTATTTCAGGTGGCAGCTACAGGACTCATTTCTCTATTCTCTTTGATGGTGTGTCAGCTGGCAATAACTCTGCTGAAGTCTGTTTTGCTCTTTGCAAAGCCCTTTTTCTGTGTGGATGTATCTCATGGACTAACAAAGGCAGCCCTCGAGGCACTCGGAGGGACTTCCACGCTCACCTTTTTTTATTTGTGTCCCCCTATCAGGATGACACAAGTGGCGATTACAAGACAGCCTTGCTGAATCTCTGTGGCAGTGATGACTGACAAAATCTAAGAGGAAGATATTGAAATGGATACAGAGAAAAAATTATCTGTGAATAAGTATCTGAAAATGTACATCTAGAAAATCTTTCCATCGAGCCAAGTGGAAAACATGATCAGATTAGAGGTCAAGACTTCCAAAGCTTCCTAAGGGTGGTGGATGCTCAGTACCCATTAAAAGCTCCTTGCTTCCCTAACAGTTTTAGAAGCATTTCTGTTTGATTTTTGTTTCTGTTTTGCTCTGTTCAATTTCCCTTACCTTTTAATGCACTGTGAAGGGTGTCACTTGGACATGAAATTTTCTTCAAGTCATGGAGTCCTCTTTAGGGGGTTTCAACACCTGAACAACCCTACAAGGCTTTGACTGTCCAGAAGCCTTGATACTAGAACTAGCTGGTATAGCACCTACTGTTTGATCCTGGTAGGGTGGGTCCTGAAAAAAGAGTCCCAGCTATTAACAGAGCTTTAGGACATGGGTCAGAACAGAGAATTCATACCTGGGGTGCCTGGTTTGACCTTTCATTGTATGACTTCAGCAGGGGCTGTCGTGGATGGAGTGAGGAGGAGTGATGCACTTCATTTGGTAGAGAGAAGCAGCAATGTTTTGTTGATTTAACAAAGTACAATTGTGAATAAGACAGCTACTTAACAAGGGTCGAATGGCATGGTTCACCCAGGTAATTTACTGTGTGGAGGACAGGGTCAGGTGAAAGCGTCAAGAAGGCCTTCCTGTTGAGTCACGAGGTTCAAAATGGACCCGAGGGATCCAATCCTAGTCCCAGACTTGGTCAGTGGTTTATGTCTAAGGATACATACTCACACAGCAAGGAGACCCTCCCCTTGAGTCATAAGGTTCAGAAAGAACCTGAGTGGATCCAATCCACGTCCCAGACTGAGTTAATGGTTTGTCTCAGGATTGTATACACAATCACTCAGAGGTATAGCCTAGCAAAGCTTGCAAAGTAGATGTCAGGGAGACCCAGGTTTGTCCCTAAGGATTATGTGCATAATCTATCAGAGAGGTAACTTAACAAAGTTACACGCATAATCTATCAGAGAGGTAATTAAAGTTACAAAGTTTTAGCATGCTATCAGTGTCACTTACTGAGGATGTCACAGGTGATGAATCTCTTGATCAAGGACTAAACTTGAGAGGTGTCCCTGCTCAAGAGGAGGTTGGGTGGCCTGCCACTGTGCAGGAGAGCTCAATGGGCCCTGACCACCTGCTATTTATGGGAGTAAGATGATTGACTCATAGTCATATTAACATACTAGATGGTGCTCAGTTAGCCCTGCTGCAGGTGCATTTGCATATAAGATGGGTGCATGCTCAGTTAGCCCTTTTCCAGGTGCTGTTTACGGGGAGGTGATGTTTAGGCTGAAGGGGAAGAACAGCACATGGCGGGGGGAAGGAGCGCACAATCACAGGGGCTCAGCAAAGAGCACAGAAGCAAACTGGCTGTAAGTGTATGAAAGTTAAAAGCGATGTGGCTGATTTTCCTCTTGCTTGTGTAGATCTATTTTCAGGGAAATCTGCAAGCTCAGTTTATGACATCAATATCAGACTGCGGGAAGGTCAAAACTGGGCCAGGTGATTTGTTTTTGGTGAATACAGATATCTGTTCTTGGGGGTAGTCCTGTTTCTCCTAGATAGTGAC